TTTTCCTTTGATTTGAGGCAGGGCCTCTCACTGGCCTGAGGTTGGCCAATTAGATATGACAAACTAGAAAGTGAGCCCCCCAGGTCCACCTGTCTCTGCTTCCCCAGGGCTGGGATTACAAGTCTGTGTCATGATTTCCATTTTTTATTTAATGTGAGTTCTGGAGATTGAACTCAGGTCCTCATGCTTTCTAGGCAAGCAGTTAGCATGACTAAGTAGGGCTCCCCAGCATTCCCTCTTCTTAGAAAGCCCCCATAATCCCATCATGGGTTTTCTGCCCCCAATGGCTTTATTTAATCCCTCCTACCTCCTAAAGGCTCCACTTCTAGACACACATTTGAAATAACTTTCTACCCTCTTACTATTGCAAAATGGGGGTGAAATTCCAAATCATGAGAATGTCGGTGGCACACTTTAAAGCAATATGTAAACCATAGCAGTTCTCTTAGGAACTTTGTTGTTTTCTTTTGCTAACCAATATGTCTTCAAATTAATTTCACAGTAATATATGTTGTATAAATTTTAAAATAGGAGTCATATTATACAGAAACAGCATAACATTAAATCAAGATGTGATGATAGCCATTTACACTTTGTTTATTATATTACTATTACATACAATTTTTTCACAAATCCTGGTGCTAAAATGTAATTTCTGGGATGGGACCATAGTAGGATGGTAAAATGCTTGCCTGGTATGCATAACACTCTAGGTTTGAACCTCAGCCATGCAAAAGAAAAAATATTGCTCATTTTTACTGTGATGCTGTGTCAAAAATAATTATATTTTTAATATGCATACGTCTCTCAGTGTTTGTGATGGATTGACTCCATGCTACCAAAATCCACAGCTGTTCGAGGCTCTTGCATAAAATGCTATAATATTTGCATATAACTTACATACATTCTCCTGTGTATTAAGTCACCTCTAGATTATTTATACCTGGTACAGTGTGAGTGCTCTGTAGCTAGTTTTTACACTGTGTTGTTTAGAGAATAATGACCCGAAAATGCCTGCACATATTCAGTAATAGTGAATATATGAGATCCACCATTTCTGAAATCTAGGGATGCAGAACAGATGTGGAGCAACACCTGTAGATACAGAGAGCTGCTCTATGTTGTTAATCTTCCTGATACCCACTTTCTCTCCCAGTAGCCTCACCTGAATAAACCCCATGCATGAATATACATGTTTTCCTAAGACCTACCCAACAGAATATAAGCCGGAACTCAGCCTTTGACCAAGCCAATGGACCAAATGCCAGTATCCTGGAGGAAATCTTACAAGTGACTTTCACTTGTAAGAATGAAATTTATAGGTGGGAAGGAACACTAAATCACAGCTCCCAGCTGCTGTGGTCCGCATCCAGCCTGGAAGGCACCTCTGGGTCAGTCAAAGGAGTTTCTCCCTGGACACTAGCCTTCTGCTAGAAAGCTACCATTGTTAAGTGGCCAGACTGCCATCTCAGAGGCAGAGCACCCAGAAATGGTGCAAAGCGCAGCTCGCCCAGCACCAGCCACTGTGGGGCACTGACTTCTTGGAGATCTGGAGATCTCCAGTAGCAGCAGATGGCCTCGAATTAATACAGCACAAAAGCAGATACGGAATAGGAATTTAAGATGTTTGATGATAGAGCAGGAGGGCATTCGCTTGAGGGACAGCCAGAATAAATGGAAACTTCATTATCCGTGGATCACACACTTGGAACGCAGGTCCCAGGCATCTCTGATGTTAGTAATTTGGCCAGCAGGCTCATTAAGCTCTTAAGAAAAGTGGGCCTAGTTAATGAATTAATGCAAGATGACATTTTACACACAGAGCAAAAAAAACGAGCCCAGGCAGCTCTGAGTTATGTGGTATCATAACTCCTTGAGTGGATGTGATCGCTGCTTCTCGACTGCCAAAGTAGCAGGTCTGGAGGGAGGCAGCTTTCTCTGAAACAACAGTGAGATCTTTAGGATACAAAAGCCCTCACTGTCTTCTCATTAAAGAGCTCCCTCTTGTATTGGTAATACTGCCAATAGTCACACAGATGTCAGAGTTTCAGAGTCTCTGGACACATTTACTTTCCATGTGAAAACCTAGCCAGCTCCACCCCTCATCCCCAAAGTTCCCCACTACTGTGCAGAGATGGCTGGTGAGGACAGCAAGAATGCACATGCTAAGAAGTGGCATTAACTAGTCAGAGCTGATGGGCCCTGCAAATGGACAGCAGTGATGGTTGCGCAACAACCAAATTCACTTAATGCTGCTGAACCGTACCCTTAAAATGCCGTTTGTGGTATGCATGTTTCATTGTGGCCACTTTGAAGTGATATTTGTTTTTAAAGGAACTAGCATTGCTGATTGCGAACCCTTGTCAGGCGCCGTGCTCAGCATTCCAGTATGCATTGCATCTTCTGATGACCAGGGGAGATGCGTACTGTTAACTTTCTCAGTCCTCTATTATTTTATGAAAGTTAAATTACTTGCCTAGGTTCAGGTATCTGGAAGTGATAGTTCCAGGATCCACCCCCAGAACTCTGTAACCTTGCAGATGTGTGCAGGAAATAACCAAAGAAGGTATTTTAATTATGAATTCTGAAACACACACACACACACAGCTTTTAATTACCTACAATGAGAACTGAGTAACCGTTATTTGTCTCCAGAAAAGCCCAAAGTCTCTTTCATCCCGAAACTGTACAAATATGCACTTGCACCTTTAAAGAGTTCATATTGGCTTCTTTATGTAATTCAGATGTGCAGGAACGTTAGACTGATGACTGCCAGAAACTGAGAAAATCTCCTAAGCTTTTAGTTCAAGTTTCTGAATGGCTAGAGAGAAAAGTTAACACAGAGAGAAGGGATCCTCGGGGGTCTCATTGCTTTGTTTTTATTCAGAAAGGCAGAGATCATGCATTCTACAGCGTGCCGGCTTTAGAAGGTGGATACCTGGCTGCCGGGCTCCTTCTGTGACTGTGGACAGGTTAACCTACCTTGCTGAGTTAATATAGAAATTATGATAGAACGTGTTTATCATAGAGTGAGTAAACAGATTGTTGTTATTGAGTTCTATGCATTTATTGAGTGCCTGCTGTCTGCCAGGTCTCCTCCTCCACTGTAGTGATAAACCAAGCAAACACAGCTCAGGTTGAGGGAGGGAGTGAATAACTTATTTCCACCGCTTGTGCTACTTCACATTAGCAAATGCTAGCCTTTCTGGGACCCACAGAAACCTCCTTCTGAGTCACAGACAGAAGCACAGGGCTGCGGTCCCAAATTTGTCCTCTGGGACTGAAGCTAGAATATTCCTCCAGTGGGTGCAGCAGCGGCTTGTTATAGTTCTGTGGTACCAGCAAGGGGTCCCCAGGTTTCTGTAGGGTCTGTTCTGGTTTCCTGTGCCTGCCTGGACTTCCTGGGGTTGTCAACCAGGGAGAAAGTCACCTGAAGCATTGAAGTGTGGCTCATTAGCATATGTGGGAGGAAGGTATTGGTAGTCAGCAGAGATGGGGTGTGACCCAGACCCTCACCCTGAGACCTGAGGAAATGCCTGCAGATTGTCTCCTGAGTCTCCTTAGGTGTTCATAGAGCAGTGCGGGGCACTAGCTTAGGTCACACAGGCTCCTCCCTCAACCTCAGTAATCTTAGTCAGGGGACCCGGCCTCACCAGGACACACTGTACCCATCTTAAAAGCAGTGCTGTGGTGCAGCTGAGAGAGTGCTTGCCTAGCATGCATGAAGTCCTGGGTTCCATCCCCATGCTGCATAAGTAGGGAGTGGTGACCCATGCCTGCAATCCCAGTACCAGGGAGTAGAAGCGAGATAATTAGAAATCCAAAGTCATCCTTAGCCACAGTGAGTTTCAGGCCAGCATGGAAAATATGAAGCCATGAATTAAAAAAAAATAACCAAAACTAAAACCTTCACTATCAGACATTGTGTGTATCAATCATAGGTGTGAATGTGCCAGCTGCTGTTCTAAACCTTTGGTCGTTGTCTGTGCCAAACTTCAGAGCCCCGGAGACTGTCTAGCCCGGTTTGTTCCCGGCACTCCATAAAGGGCACATGCACAGAAAGCAGGATGAGGGGCAGGGGAACCTGTCTGGCTCCAGAGTCTGCCCCTGTGTCTGTGAAGATCAACCCAGGGCCTGGCACAAAACACGTGTTCTGCAGACATTCAGAGCCCAGATGTGCATAACAGCCTTCCTCACGTGAGCTTCACCATTCATTTCCAATGAAGAACTGATTTCTGGAACCCAAGAATTCTCACTCTTGACCCCTGGGTATTACATTTCCCACATCTGAGTTTTAAGCTAACTTCATTAAGGTCTTTTTTTTTTTTTTTTTTTTTTTTTTTTAGTTTTTCGAGACAGGGTTTCTCTGTATTGTTTTAGAGCCTGTCCTGGAACTCGGTAGACCAGGCTTGGTCTTGAACTCACAGAGATCCACCTGCTTCTGCCTCCCAAGTGCTGGGATTAAAGGTGTGCGCCACCACCGCCTGGCCCCATTGAGGTCTTTTTTATAGAACATAAAATTCACTCACATTAACTGTACAATTCATGAATTTTAGTTAACTTTCCAGCATGTGCCATCATCACCACAGTCTAGTTTGAGCCTTGTCAATGACCCAACAAGACCCCTCATGTCCAATTGCTGTTAATCCAGGTGCTGCTATGCTTGCTGTCCTTGAACTGGCCTTTCAGATACATCATATAAATAGTCTACAAGCTGGGATGTGAGGGGTGTGGCTTATTTCTCTGCTTGTTTCTGAAATTCACACTCATGAGATGTGTCAGTATTTACATTTGGGCTGGGTAAGAGTTCTTTGTGCAAATAGACCACAGTTTGACTATCCATTCCACAGCTGATGGACATTTTGGAGCCTTCCTTTGTGGTGGCTGTGAATAGCCCTGCTATGCTAATTGGCAAGGCACTTCTGGGGTTGATTTTCAAAGGCTTAGGAAGGTCCACTTGTAATGTTCTCTTCTCCTCTCTTTTCTCCTGGTTTTCCCAGAACCAGGCAGTGGGCAGGTGTTCGTGACCTCAGAGAACCAGCTTGTGTACTACCCCAGTATCACATACGCAATCATCGGCAGCTCCGTCATCTTCGTCCTGGTGGTGGCCCTGTTGGCACTGGTCCTACATCATCAGAGAAAGCGGAACAACCTCATGACTCTACCTGTGCACCGGCTGCAGCACCCCGTACTGCTCTCTCGCCTGGTGGTCCTGGACCACCCCCACCACTGTAACGTCACTTACAATGTCAATAATGGTGTTCAGTACGTGGCTAGCCAGGCTGAACAAAACGCCTCGGAAGTAGGCTCTCCACCCTCCTACTCAGAGGCCCTGCTGGACCAAAGGTGAGAGATTGCAGAGGAGGGCATCTAACATGGGTGTGACATATGTGCACACACCGGCTACCTAAGTCTAGCCAAAAATTTGAGCTCGACAACTGTAGGCAGTAACGGTGATTGATATTTACCAACCCCTGCAATGTTTCATGTCATCTATTCCTCTGGACACTTCTATGAGGGAGGTAACTGAGGCCCGGCAGTTTTAAGTTGCTTATCTAAGGACCTAGATGAAGGATCCCTGCTCCTGCTTGATTAAGCCACAATGTCACACATTCAGACCATTGACCATCTCTAGACCTTGCCTGCTACTACAGAAAAGTGTCATGGGAGCTTTGACTAATTTGTTGACTGAATGAGAGAATAAGTAATCCCCTTACCTTGCTTGGCATCATTTATGAGGTAAAAGGGATGACATAGAACACCCAAAACTTTATTGAGCAATGGAATACTGATCACATATGGCATTGTTCTGAACTGCAGCCGAGTATGGAGTCTGCTTAGATTATAACAGTCCATGTCCTGCCTTCAAGTTCTCTGCTCAGTGGTCCCTCTTCCCCAGAGCCCAGGACTCACTGTATGTCACATAAGCAGTTTACAGGTGTCCCTCCAGGGTGTCTGGGCTCCCCCGTGAACCCTTCCTAGTGGCAGCTCCTGTATGATTTCATCTTCATTCTCCCTCCTCTTCAAAAGCAAACAAAACTTCAAGGACTGGGGGGAGGAGGTGGTGCTGCTTGAGGCGCTCTGCGGGGCCTCACTCACCTAATGAGCTTCCTACTCATAACCTTTGTGCGAGGGCAACCAGAGCAGAGTAAGGATAAAACTGATGAATCTGGACACAGAGTTCCAGTCCCAGCATTGCTGCTCTACCAGTCGGTGATCATGGGCGTCAGATTCCTCCCCAGGACAGTGGACACTAAAGTAATGCCTACGTCAGAGGTCACTGTGAGCAGTAAGGAGGCAGAGAGGTACACAGAGAAGTGCCTGGCTTACAGCAGTGGGTGAAAAGAGCGCAAAACAGAATGTCTTTTCTGTTACATAATTTTGTTGCAAGCAAGGTACAGAGAAAGAGAGGGCACTGAGAAAATGACGTCTCACCCTAGGCGACAGGAAGACTTAGACTTAGTTAAGAAACCAGAGCCCCTTCCTTATCAAAGACTCTTGACTGTAAGTCATTTAGCCAAAAGCACCCAAGGTGATCTGAGGGTGTTGTTGTTCAGCAACCTCATTCCTGCCCGCCCACCTAGAGGATAGGCACTGCCCATTGGACAGGAACAGCCAGAGCACATTGACCTTGCTGGTCTGTCGTATTTCAAACCACTGGTTTTGCTGATCTTCGATCGCCTTTGTACTTGGCAGTAAAGCCTTATTCTTCTCCTTGCCATCTGCTCAGAAACGGGCTGTTGTTGGGGCTGGCTCTGCATCGCCTGCCTCATCTTGACTCTAATGTGTTCTCTTCCCTCTGCCGCCCCCCTGCCTTCTCCATTGCAGACCTGCGTGGTATGACCTTCCTCCACCGCCCTATTCATCCGACACTGAGTCTCTGAACCAAGCTGACCTGCCTCCTTATCGCTCACGGTCAGGAAGTGCCTACAGTGCCAGCTCCCAGGCGGCCAGCAGCCTCCTGAGTGTGGAAGACAGCAGCCACAGCCCAGAGCAGCCTGGCCCTGCAGAGGGCCCTACTGAGCCCAGAGACTCTGTGCCCAATGAGGGCACTGAAGAAGTATAAAACTAAAGCAATTCCAAAGTCCACGTGGGTAGATCTGCTCCAGTTTGTTGAATTCTAACAGCCCTGCTCATGAGACACACTGAGCCCCTTTTGAGGATCTCAGGTTGAAGTTTAGGGTGCTGATTGCCTCTCCATCACCGTCTCCTCCTCCGGATTTCAGGGATATTCTTTGGAATGACCTGGCACTCCTCTGTCCTCTTAGTTGACATGATGTGTCATCACCTTCTCTGTGAGGTTACTGTTCCCTCGGGGCCTACTATTACAGTCTCATGCTTCAGATGATTCTGCTACTGTTGATCCATCCAGTAGGCTTGTGACTGGGCAGGCAGCAGGATGAAGCCATATGTAAGTAGTCTTTGACAGGGTCTGGGCCTCATTGCTCATTCAGGTCAGAAGACACCAGACCAGGTGGAGGATTCTGCCAGAAGGCCATCATCAAATGGCCACTCCAAAAAGTGTCCAGGTGACCATCCAATCTCACCTTGTACTGTCCTATGCATTGTTCTTACTTCAGCAGAGGCCAAAGAAAACTTGTAGCATGAGCGCTAGCTTTCAGCTCTCAGCACTCTGGTTTGGTTTGTGAGAGACTCAGAAACAGTTTACCTGGCCTTATATATTTGCCTAAGAAGCCTCATCTTAAGAGCTTTCTCTAGAAATCCAGATCCTTAGCACCCTCCTTGAAAAAGTAGGAAACTCTGCCGTTGTTGAAAACCCTCAAATGTATAGGTTACAAGAGCCTGTGGCTGCCTTGACCTCCTGTCCTTTTCCTGGCTTCTGGATTGTCCCCACCCAAGATGACCTGGCATAGTTAAGGATGAGGACCCAAATTCAGTTTGCCAAAATTCTGAGGGAGCCCTTTGCCCCAGGAAAACAGGCCCAGTCTGATGTGCTCATAAATGCAGCTTCATCGTGAGGGAAGCTCTCCTCAAGCTCCTAAGTTCCCTGAACACCTGACAGTCTAGTTCCCATGTGCATTTGGACTCGAGGACACTCATGTAAGCTCTAGCTTTCATGAGACCCATATCCAGTATACCTGTGAGAACTCTCAGGTCGCTGTACTGCACACAGAACCCCAGGAACAGTGCACCGAGTCAGGGTTAGGGTTAGAGTGAGGGTCAGGCTCAGCCAAACATCTGGCAGTTTCTCCTCAGAGAGAAGTGGGCAGTGGATAACTTGGAGTCTAGACTTCCCATTGGATGTTTTAAAGTCTCTTAGAAATACATTTGAAACAGTGTGTTTGTTTTTTCCCTTCTAGTTAAGGGACTATTTATATGTGTATAGGAATGCTATCTCTTTGGTTTTGGCAAAAAGCTGCCTTTCCCCAGCCCCATCCCATAATGTCACCTCAGACTCACCTATATGCCCAGCATTTACATTGGGGCATCTTGGAGTCATTATTTATCGAGTTCTTGAAAAATGCAGAGAGACAAGTCTCCCATCCGTTGTATATGTGTTTAGACTACCTTTCCTCTTTCTTGATGCCTCGCCAGCCCTAGTGCGTAACACCACCACCCACCCCTACCAACCAGGCAATAATGGGTAAACATACTAACCAGGGACAAAACTGGAACCAGGTGGTGCCACCTCAGGCAGCTGCACCCATTCAAAGCATTTTTCCACAGCTGACGAAATTTTTAATAACCTGTTTAATGCTAATTAAAATGGAGCCTGCAGGAAGCAGGGATGAAGTGGCCTTCAATAATGCTGTCCTGGTGACTTTCCTTTCTAAGTAAATTCAAACTAGACCGCTGGAAAGCTAGCCACTTGGGGTTTTGTTTGTTTGTTTGTTTTTGCTTTTGCTTAAATAAACCTAGTTGCTTGTATCTTTTATTTTTTTAAAATAGCAATTGAGTGTGTGTGTATGTGTGTGTGTGTGTGTGTGTGTGTGTGTGTGTGTGTGTGTGTGTCTAACCCAGTGAAGAAAGAACCTGGGTGGCGGCAGACAGAGTTTTTCTGGCTGTGTATCTCATCCCAGTGAGACAGTGTTGCTCTCTCTTCCCTTTGATGGATTCCCGCTTCTTTTTTTGGTGCTCTGAAAGTTGTCTGGAGGAAAGGATTCTAATTTTAATTAATTGTGCAGTGAGTTAATCTCATGAGTTTTTCTGCTTCAAGGCATTTTAGGGAAAACAAATGGTTTTAGTAGATAAGGGGAGCCTATTAATGTTGGTTTTTTGTTTTGTTTTGTTTTTTTTTTTTTAAACAAACACAGGGACATTTTTACTATAGATTTGCTTTTTAATGGATTTTTAAAATAATAGTAGTAAAAATAAATAAGATAGCAAAGCTCTGGGATTTAAGGGTCCCCACCTCCCCTTTTTTCTTAAGATACCAAGTAAGTGGCTAGCAATATTTTTAAATTCATTCCAGCTGGGAATTTTTTAATACTATATTGCCTAATTCTACACCAGCCAGAAAAATGTTCTCCACTGTGTCTTCTCCAGTGAGATGACTACACTAGACTCACTGTGATTGGAAACTCACTGCCTGACTTAACTGCCTCTTCCTTGGAATTGACAATGTTTTTGAAATGTAACTAAGCTGTTAATAGTGTGCGATATTCAAAATTAATGTAAACTGGAAGGTTTTATGTGGTTGCTTTCTTTGGTTTGTTTTTTTAATTTTTATACTCTAAAATAAACTTGCAGTTTCATTCTTTCTGTGGTGTGAATGGTTCTTGACTCACTCCTCTGCCACTGACAACATGAAAAGAATATGATCGTTTCTGGCTTAGCTTCCCCAATAAATGCATACCATAATAAAACGAGGAGACAGGAGAGTATATTGGTGAAACTTCCAAATGTGGTGGATAGTTGGGGTTCTGCTGGTGCGATTGGATAGTGAGGAGAAATTAGGCACACCAGTGTGATGGCGCTGGAAAGTGAGTTCTTCCTTACAGCTTTCCTTGTTCCGTGAAAAGGCAAATGGCTGCAGTGACTGTTGCAAATTCTTGCAACAAATTCAAACACTGAGCATTATACTGGCATGCTTGTAATTTGTTTCAAACCACCAGGGAAACATCTTCATGTCCCTTTAGGTCTACTTTAGAGCCATGTGTTGACTGATGCAGCAGGGACAATGCGTAGGAGTCGAATGCCCAGTACTACTCCACCACCCACAGCCAAGAGAAGTGATTCCACCCTTGGTCAGAATCGAAATCCACAGGAAAGTTTAAATGCTAATCTTCAGGCCAAGATTTGGGTCATGTATTATTTCCCTGCCCTAAACAATGGAACTGTCAGTCAAGGGTATCCCAAGAACTTTGTCGTATCCTACCCAGAGTGCTCTAAAGCACAATGCCCCAAATGTTTGTTCATGTACTCATTCTTCCATTTCTCATGGTACCTTATGAATACCATTTTTGTTGATCCTCATAAGGAAAGAATTATATTGATCAAATCTAGAGCAGACATTGGCAACCTTAATGTAAAGGGCCAGATAGTATGTTTGACTCTGAAAACTGCAAAAGACTCATAAATAATACATAAATGATTGAGTACAGCTGTGTGCCAATAAAACTATATGAAAATAGGGAGTTGGGTAGTTTTGATCTGTGGACTCCTAGCTACTTTTGACATTGTGGACCCTAGTGGGTTTGTAAATCTTAAGCTTAGGCACTATAGGGCAGAAATAGTGTTATAATGGTTTGAAGAAATAGAACCATTCATGAGGCAGAATGTCCAAGGTCCTGATTTAATTGAAATTGGCCTTACCAGTTCTTTTTCCATTGTATAAGAAAATACAGGGTTGATGGAGGCTTTCCTAATAAGATTCCAAAACAGTTGGGTTGAACAGGGAGAGCCTAGTTTTATTGTTGTTTGTTTGTTTGTTTGTGTTAAAAACAAAGATCTGGTACCACTGGGAGTCCCTCAGGCTCATAAACTTAGACAATGTCTCTGTTCAAGAGAAAGCATGTTGGTATGTGACCTGAAAAACATTGTTCACCTCCATTTAGCTTACAACCCACAGGCAGTGTAAGTCTATCTATTCAAAGACTCAACTGGAGCCGGGCAGTGGTGGCACACACCTTTAATCCCAGCACTTGGAAGGCAGAGTCCAGGCAGGTGGATATCTGAGTTCAGGGCCTCCATGGTCTACATATGGTAAGTTCCAGAACACCCATGGCTACACAAGGACATCCTGTCTCAAAAAAAAAAAAAAAAAAAAAAAAGACTCAACTGGATGAAAAGCATTAGATTGGTGCAAAGGAAGTGTACCTAGTATTCATATTCATAAGAAAAAAAGAACTATGCACCCACTGAGATTCAGGAGAAAGATTGATAAGAAAAATCTACTGACTCCTTTAACATCCTGTAATCCAGCAAGTTCATAAGACGTAAATGAGAACCCCCAGTTATAAGTAATGAACTCATTTAAAAGTATTATCCATTACAAACAAGTCTTCAGGCCTGGATAGATGCATTTGAACAGCTTTCGTTAGTAGTGTATTTCTAGGGAGCTCCCAAAACAATACTGTCTATTGTCCACCATAACTGGGTAGTAAGACCTTATTGCTGAAGACATCGTACATGTTGGATACAAAACACAGAAATGAGCCTAGATCTGAGGTGCCAGTTTCCTCCCTGCTTGCTAGTTGTCTTGGTTAGGGTTTAGCATGGCAGGGAAGAGATACCATGACCACAGCAGCTCTTATAAAGAAAACATTTAAGGGTGGCTCACTTCCCATTTCAGAGGTCCATTGTCATCATGAAGGGGAGCATGGCAGTGTGCAGGCGGATGTGTGCTGGAGCTGAGAGTGTTGCATCTTGCAGGCTACAGGAAGTTGACTGACTGTCACACCAGGGGAGGCTTGAGAAAAAGAGACCTTAATGCCAATCACACAGTGACACAATCCCTCCAGCAATGCACACCTCCTTATAATGCCACTCCCATTGGGGGTCACTGTCTTTCAAACCACCACACTAGTGTTCATGGTACTAGAAGGTGGAGACGAAAGGTATCCACAGTTGCTCCCAGCCACAGAGTCTGTACTGTAGTGACAACCTGCCAGCAAAAGCTGGCTAACCAACCACTTCCCAGCTAGACTGAGACCTAGTACAAGGGGGATATATGCCTCATACCGATAAACCTCACCTAAAGTCTATGGCTGTTGTCTTAGTTAGGATTTCTATTGCTGTGAAGAGACACCATGACCACAGCAACTCTTTCAGACCACCCCAACTGTGAAGGTCAAGGGACTGGAGAAGAAGGTGCTACTGATGTCTTGCTAAGTGGGCATTGTAGGCAAATCGCCTCCTGAACACTGAAGTTTGTGCTGGGAGACTAATACTGGTCTCTGCTGAGTCAGAGCAACTTCTTTTTGTAGAGGGTGAATAGAGCGGAGACTCACTGGTCTCTTGAGTACTGAAAATAAATGACTAGTCAGTGCTGAGCCCCAAATATGATGATTATGTCACTCCCTTTCAGAGCATCTTACAAGAAGAGGTGGAAAGATTTTAAGAGCTGGAGGATGAGAAGGAAAGCTATGAAATACTGTTTTGTTTTCTATGTATGGTGTGGCTTTTGTGATCACGAACACACAGAAATTGTGGCTATCTGCACAAACAAGACTTGCAACCCCCCTCAAAAAAAAAGACATAAGGCAACTAGTAAGGACAAGAGTCATGGGAATGAGAAGGGATAAGAGACAGTAATGAGAGGTGAATATTTGGGTGGTGGTGGCGCACACCTTTAATCCCAGCACTAGGGAAGCAGAGGCAGGTGGATCTCTATGAGCTGGAGGCCAGCCTAGTCTACATAGTTCCATGATTGCCATTACACAGAGAAACGCTATCTCAAAAAGCCAAGAGAGAGAGGTAAATATGATTGCAAAATCAGAATACATGTTACTTGTATATAAAATTATCAATTAAAAGAAGAATTTGTGAGATGGGGAGATGGCTCAGTGGTTAAGAGCACTGACTGCTCTTCCAGAGGGTCTGAGTCCAATTCCCACCCAGCACCCACATGGCAGCTCACAGCTGTCTGTAACTCCAGTTTCAGGAGACCTGGCACCCTCATACAGACATACATGCAGGCAAAAATACCAGTGTACATGAAATAGAAATAAATAATTGAAAAGAATTTGCTTTTGGGCCTGTGGAGATGACTAAGTAGACAAAAACACTTGCTGTGCAAGCATGAGGATCTGAGTTCAAATCCCCGTAACCTACTCAAAAGCCAATTATATAGGTTAACCTGTAATTCTAACACTACTGCAGGGAGGTGGGAGGCAGAGACTGACTGGCTAGCTTCACATTTGTGGAAAGAACAAGAAAAAGGCCTGTTTCAAAGAAGACAAAAGGCAAGGATTAAAATCCAAGGTTGTTGTCTTCTGAGCCTCATGTGTGCACCATGGCATATGCACACCTTCTCTCACACACATACAAATATATACTTACACATTTAATTTTTCTCTTCAAACTTCTTAGCCCTGTTGTGTTCAATATTGGTTTCATGGGACTGAAGAGACACTCCTCCCTAGAATTTATAAACACTCCTTCAAACTAACTCATGATTAGATGTCATTGATTGTGTAGCTATTACTGTGGGTGGGACTTGAATCCCTTGATTGACAACACCACCAAAATTATATGGAGTGGGAAAAGGGCAGTTCCTATGTGAGAGGTTCTAGTAGCAGTCAAAACTTTAGTGTATCTATTGGAAAGCTTCACTGAGTAAAGGTTCACAACTAACTAGCCCAAATTTTAATGCATATAAGAAATAACAGGCTTTAGGCAATAGAGCTGCAGGCATTAAACAATTTGCAAAGTGCAGAGGCAACATCAACAAACATTCCAAGGAAAGTCAACAACCATTTTCCAAACCCAGAGGCAAGAAAAATTAAGATGATGCATTTGAAGCTGGTATCATGTGTACTTTCATGAGATGGTCAACTGGGCCACACAGACATGAATATCTACAGGAGAAAATCTACCCTCTAAATAGAAAGAAGTAATTCCCAAACTCCAGACCTATCCTTAAGTTCTGAACATGCGGAAATGGGATAATTAGTCGACCACAAGTTTCCTCCTGCCCCGACATGTGGTGTTTTAAAACTGAGGGTTCAGAAATATGTTCCCATTCTCTCGTTAAGACTCCCAGACTCACATATGCATGGTGTTAATTAACTGGGCTTCCCATGGTTAATCGTTGTATCTATGCCAGAGAGCAAAGGTGCTTCAACACCCAGGATGCCACCCCTTAGGAATTCTGGGACAGTTGTTGGCCACTGGAGGGCAAATTACCATCAGACATGGAGCTTAAATACATGACCAAACAGGACAAAGGTGTGGTGACAGAGGAGTCGTGTTCCTTTAAATATGATTGGCGTCTCCATTGGGCTCGGTTTGCAGTTTGAACAAGGATGATTCTCTCTGATGTTTCAAATCCGCTCCGTATTTGACTTTATGCTCCTCATATTCACTTTGCCTAGTCATCGCAATGGACTAGCAGCGGGAAGCACACAGGAAGGAACACACCAGGCAGTGGGACCCAGAAGCAGCACGCATACCTCCCACATTCCACTGCCTAGCATTCCCTCTAGCATCATAGCCACGCCTACTTGCCTTGCAGATCAGCTGTGTGATCAAGTAGAACCAGAAGAGGATTGCTAGTCACCAAATACGTTTGTGTTCTTTTCCTATGTAGAGTGCGCT